GGGGTGCTACATGAAAGTGTTAGGTTCCCTTGGCTCAGTAGCGGTTTTTAATCAATAGTCAATAAAGACATTAACATCTTTGAAGAGGGGTGAGTGTAGCACATGTGATCATGTGATGAAATTTGAATATACTATCACTATGGATTCTTGAAACCTTAGGGGATGAATGAGGATAAAATAACCACTAAAGGCTCTCTTATCAAGCAATTGCCCCTTTTCCAATTGGATTAAGGGGAGAGAGATAGGGTAACCTTGGGGGATAAATCGGGATAAAATAGCCATTAAGGACTCTCTCATCAAGTAATTTCCCCTTTTCCAGTTGGATTAAGGGGAAAGAGATATGGTGCAACACAAAGATTGTCGAGGGGATTGGGAAAAAGGAAGAACAAAACAAAATGAAAACATAGAAAGAAGTAATGGGGGGATAAAAATAATGGAACTAAAGGTAGAAGCAAAGGGATGAAAATGCATGGAGGTGAGAGGAATGGATGAAATATAAAGAAGTATAAGACAATGGGGAAAATGCCTCAAAATCACACTTGGCATGATTGTGTTATAACTAATCTGTACCAAGGATGATATCAAAAGCTTGACTTGGCACCACTTGCAATGACTACAACCTAAGTTTGAGATTATCTACATGCATAACTAGGTTTGTCTCATCTCGTGTACATACATATGTATAACCGTTGTTATAAAGAATGAAAACTAACTCCTCCGCATGATGTAAGTGTAGATGGTAATGTGTGGCAACAAGTCGAGTAATAGAAGATAAACTTGAATATGTATCAACCAATATAGAAAAAATAATAGAAGACTTTTTATTATAAAAATGAGCTTAGAAAGTAAATACTAGATGAATTGGTGCCAAATGAACCCCTTGATGATACTTCCAAAAGAAAAATTGAGTGGTCACTGATTTATTAGCGCAAGGTCCCTCCATTATTTGTGCAACTCTTTGTTTCCCAAATGCATCTCAGTGTCTAAACCTTCCACTATAACAACACCAATAGGACGTTGTTAATGTTAAAGTCTCCACCTAGGGAATGGTGGCCACTAATCTAGAAACATCAACAACGCCGATAAGTGTGACCAATTGCATCACATGCCTAACAATAAACATCACAGCCACAACCATTTCCTTGTCCTTGTCCTTGGACTCGAGCAACAGTAGCATCAACCTCTATTAAAACAAAACCATTACTTATAGAAAATGGAGTTGAAGGATGTGTAGCGAGAAGTGACTTGATGAAAGCAATAGAACCATCAAACTCGCTCTTTGGGGATCAATTATCATTTCCTCCTTTGATCGTATCCAGAAGTACTAGAGATAGTCTAGAGATAGAAGCAAGTTTGACACCAGTTATTTTGGGAACACAGAAGAAAAAGAAGAAAAATAAACTCAAGTTTCAAAATTTATAGAGATCCATATAATCCAAATCAAGATCAATCCTCCACAAACTTAATGCCACTTTCAGCACCTCCAAGCTCTACCAAAAAACATAGCCACAGTATGCCACAATCGTTCACTTGAAAATCTGAAGATGTCAATCAAAGCATGCAAGCAAAAACATGAAGTAAAGAAGCGCAGGTGGACAACAAAGGAGATGAACTGAGCAAGGCCAAGAACACATATAAGGACTGAATGTAAGCACGTGAGGCCTTGTGTGGTTTTTTCCTCCATGCATGGCTTCATGTGTGAAGAGTTTGGTGTGGTAAGGTATGTTGTGGAGCAGCCAGAAGCCCAGGGTGAATATAAGTATGTGAGGCCTTGTGAGGTTTTACCACTGCCTGAGGACTCCTATGCATGGACCCTGGGCGAGAGTCATTTGCGAAAGTGTTCTGTGTGAAACTGGTGCCCCAAGGCTTCTGGCCGAAGAGCATTTTTTATTTAATTTGTGTAGAGTGTGGTTTATTTTTGCATATTGAGTGTATCGATATCTTTTAGTTAGCAGATTATATTGAAGAACTGAAAACTACCTACAGTTAAGTGCATGCAGCAACAGATCATATAAAAAATGAATGCAGAGAATAACAAATCGGGATTTCTAGGAAGTTCATGCGTGTTGTTAATAATAATAATAATAATAATAATAATCATAAAAACCTGATGTTCAGCCAGTTAGAAGATTGTCTGAAAATTATGCATGGATTGCTGCTGGCTCACTTTCTATATATATCAAAGAGATTTTTTTTTTAACAATAAACATCTAAGCTGCTGCAGTTAAGCTGTGACATTGTAAAGTTTAAAAAGGAAAAGAATTAGAAAAAGAAAAAACAGAAAACACGAGCTTTTTACTACTACAGTTAAGTAATAACAAATTGGGATTTCTAGGGTATGCGTGCGGCACTAGGGTTTGTGTGGTGTGTGTCTCATTTCTCAACAATCTCATGCAGTGGAAAACGTTTTTCAGGGATCCCACTTTCTGGTGGGAGCTTCGATCAAAGACTTATTGGATCTACAAAGAGCTAGCAAGCCATCACTTACAGCAAAGTTCTTGTTGGGATCTTGTTTTTCTTCCTCAGCAGTGGACAAGGTATGATACAATGAAAAAGGTAAAGTCAGGTATTTGTTTAACGTCCGCTTGGAGCAAACCTTGCTCATCGGATGGCCTCATGACAACCCATTACAACCCAGGATGAAAACTCCACATCAAAGCTTAAGGCAGCATCACTTGTGATCGCCTTCATCTTGCTTTACAAACTGAAGTTATCGAGGTTTGTGATTGGATAATGCTTGATGGTGCTGAGACTCAAATCATCTTTGTTATGGAAACAACCCCTAGTCTCTCCATGCAACACATAACAATCCATCACCTCAAGCTATTGTTTTTTATCCCTGTAACAGTGGTGCACTGTTTCCAGGTATAGCTCCCAAGGAGGTCCCAGTTCCCAGGATGGCCTTCGGTAAAAGGATCGGGACGATACATCAGAGAGGGAAATACACTGAACTGGATCCTAAGGTTCAACTGGGAGAATGCTCTGCAATACACTAGTTTGGGGAGTACCTATATCTGATCTTATATAGTTATCCTGGGAAGGTAATGAGTTCAGTGTGTCTTTTTTTATGTACAGGTCTAAGCATGGCAGAGAGCTTTTGATGGATAAAATTGACACCAAGCTTATGCGGAAGTTGAAGAATCGGAAGTACATTGTCAACATGTGGAAGACACTGGTGGAAGCTAAGGTAAGCTGGCTTCTTGTGCAGGACAGCATCCCTGTTGGTGATTGGCTCACAGTTCACAAAACTCTGTATTCTATGCAATGAAAACCCGTGGAGATGCTTGAACACCTCTTCACATGCAAGTCGCCACGAACAGATCTACCTGTTTCTTCTCCTTGCTCAGCATTGAATGGATCTCCATCCCGATGCGTAGAGCTCTCTCCCTCTTCCTGGTGCCCTGAGGCTTCTGGCCGTGTCGCCCCATGAAGAGCATTTTTTATTTAATTTGTGTAGAGTGTGGTTTATTTTTGCATCGATATCTTTTAGTTAGCAGATTATATTGAAGAACTGAAGACTACCTACAGTTAAGTGCATGCAGCAACAGATCATATAAAAAATGAATGCAGAGAATAACAAATCGGGATTTCTAGGAAGTTCGTGCGTGTTGTTAGTAATAATAATAATAATCACAAAAATCTGATGTTCAGCCAGTTAGAAGATTGTCTGAAAATTATGCATGTACTGATTCTTCAGCTCTTGAGCAACTGATTGCTGCTGGCTCACTTTCTATATATATCAAAGAGATTTTTTTTTTAACAATAAACATCTAAGCTGCTGCAGTTAAGCTGTGACATTTTAAAGTTCAAACAGGAAAAGAATTAGAAAAAGAAAAAACAGAAAACACGAGCTTTTCAGTTAAGTAATAACAAATCGGGATTTCTAGGGTATGCGTGTGGCGCTAGGGTTTGTGTGGTGTGTGTCATTTCTCAACAATCTCATGGAGTGGAAAACGTTTTTCAGGGATCCCACTTTCTGGTGGGACAACAGGTTCAAGAAGAAAAACAAGTTCTTCTCAGAGTCCTACCCGGATTTCAAACATGTTTCTACCGGAGAGAGCCTGTGGATCGCCAACAGGAAAACACCAACCTGGGTCTCTGCAAAACTCGAGTCGCTCGCTGACCCAGCTGTAGGTAAGGCCACCACGGCCCGCTACAAATCTCCACATACCCCACCTGTAGCTGGTGATGAACCGGTGAGTTTAGGGAGGCTGATACACCGCGTGAGACACTCAGCTGAGAGCAGATCCCTTTCTTTGGGAAAACAAGCCCATGAAGCTGTGCTCAAGAGTGATGAGCACAAAAGCAACATCTACTTGTTGACGGGATTGATCGATATGTACTGCAAGTGTGGCGAGCTTGAGGAGGCTCGCAAGATTTTCGACTCCATGGGAACCCGGAGTGTTGTGTCCTACAACGCGATCATCCAGGGCTGTGGCTCGAACGGGCAAGCTGAACTTGCTCTGGAGTACTACTCTGCCCTGAGAGTTGATAACACCATTCAACCCGACGATCGGACACATGTCGCGGTGATCAGTGCCTGCTCCAGACTTGCTACCGAATCCAGCGAGAAGAGGGAGAGAGCTCTACGCATCGGGATGGAGATCCATTCAATGCTGAGCAAGGAGAAGAAACAGCTAGATCTGTTCGTGGCGACTTGCCTGGTAGACATGTACTGCAAGTGTGGCGAGCTTGAGGAGGCTCGCAAGATTTTCCACTCCATGGGAACTCGGAGTGTTGTGTCCTACACTGCGATCATCAACGGCTGCAACTCGAACGGGCAAGCTGAACTTGCTCTGGAATACTACTCTGCCCTGAGAGCTGATAACACCATTCAACCCGACGATCGGACTCATGTTGTGGTGATCAGCGCCTGCTCCACACTTGCTACCGAATCCAGCGAGAAGAGGGAGAGAGCTCTACGCGTCGGGATGGAGATCCATTCAATGCTGAGCAAGGAGAAGAAACAGGTAGATCTGTTCGTGGCGAATTGCCTGGTAGACATGTACTGCAAGTGTGGCAAGCTTGAGGAGGCTCGCAAGATTTTCCACTCCATGGGAACTCGGAGTGTTGTGTCCTACACTGCGATCATCCACGGCTGCGGCTTGAACGGGCAAGCTGAACTTGCTCTGGAGTACTACTCCGCCCTGAGAGCTTGTACCACCATTCAACCCAACGATCGGACTCATGTCGCGGTGATCAGCGCCTGCTCCAGACTTGCTACCGAATCCAGCGAGAAGAGGGAGAGAGCTCTACGCATCGGGATGGAGATCCATTCAATGCTGAGCAAGGAGAAGAAACAGGTAGATCTGTTCGTGGCTACTTGCCTGGTAGACATGTACTGCAAGTGTGGCGAGCTTGAGGAGGCTCGCAAGATTTTCCACTCCATGGGAACTCCGAGTGTTGTGTCCTACACCGCGATCATCCAAGGCT